ACCTGTCTCTCTTCCCCCTCTCTTTGTCTCTCTCTCTTTCTCTCTCTTTCTCTCCCTCCCTCCCTCCCCCTCCTCCTCTCGCTTTGTGTTAGTTTCAGACAGGTTACTCATTGGAATGTATATTACTGTTTTCCGTGCAACCAATTTGCGTTTTCCTCTGCGAATTGATAACGATTATGCTTACGTGAGAATGGTTAAGAACATTAATAGCTCTTACCTCGAATCTACTAACAAAGGACAATGGTAGTCTTTTGTAATTTCCTCTCATTTGTCCGTTTTTTGTTCCCGTTTCTGTCCCACTTTTCTAGCATCATTGTCATGTAATAAAAAAAATACCTGCTTCTCTCCTCTTAAAAAACAAAAATCGGTCCTCGGTACCTTTTTCTTTTGTCCTGTCGTTGTAGGAACACACAGACTCCTACAGAAGAACCAAGAGTGCATGTCTGGACATTGTCCACCGGCTTGTTATAATCAGTTTACTGTGTTGTCCGTGAGCACGTTCTTGCTTTTTTGTTCCTGGACCCAGGGTCTCCTCCTCGAGGGAAACAAAACGAATGTAGGCCATTCCCGATACATTTTGCTGACCCACTTTGCTTGTACCCTGTTTCCCCTTCTTGGGGCATATTTGTTTTTTAAAATATATTTCGTTCTCTTTTACATTTCTTGGTTTTTGTCGCATTCATGGACACCCCCCCCCCCTTCTTTCCATATTGTTTTCGTGCAAACGTTTTTGTTTTTTTGTAGAATGATACATTTTATTTTCGTTTTTCATTGGGTTTTTAAAAAAAATTGAGTTCGATAGAATTAGGGTTATCTCACTCAAAGATTTACGAGTCTGAACTGGATCATGAGAATATAGACAAACAGCAACAGAATACAAAAACTAAACTAGGAAAAACGGCACAGATGCAGCTAACATTTCAACGAATATTCAGTGGATTCTTCTCTAGACGGCACTCATATAATTTTCTGTAGCAAATTATATATTGCGTTGTGGGAAGACGGAGGAATATGGTAAAATATCATGAAATGTAATGTGTAGTCGCAGACAGCCAAGATAATTGTGTATGGCCTATGCAGCTTGCTAGCTGTCATTTGGTGTACCCAGGCCAGTTGGCAGGGAAGACAGGGAGATACTGAGTCATGAGTGGTGCTGATGTTATATAAACATTGACATAAGGTTTGGGGGTGTGTTAGAGCGCAAAACATAGTTTGTAGAGAGCTAGCTAGAAAGTTAAATATGAAGAGAGATAGATAGATAGATAGATAGATAGATAGATAGATAGATAGATAGATAGATAGATAGATAGATAGATAGATAGATAGATAGATAGGTAGATAAATAGATAGATTGTTAGATAGATAGATAGATAGACAGACAGACAGACAGACAGACAGACAGACAGACAGACAGACAGACAGACAGACAGACAGATAGATAGATAGATAGATAGATAGATGGCAGGCAGGGCGTCGTATGTAGAGTGAGAGAGAGAGACTGGCTGACGTAAAGTGAGACAGTCAGAAGACAGGGGGGAGGGCAGAGAGACAGCTAGATAGACGCATATAGGTATACGTTTTTATACATAAATGTGTTAACAATCAGAGCTTTTGTGACGTAGATAATTGTTTCTTTCCGGTACTCTTGAATCTGCTCTCAAATATTGACGTGTCATGGGCTCGCCAACTCCTGTTTTGTAATATGGTCTACCAATTCACACATTAACATCATCGAAATGGGTTTGCTCCCAGAATGTGCCAGATTCAAGTGCTCACAATGTGGCCAGTCGTGCGATTACGTGGATGCCACGTAGTTCCTTGTGTTAGCATGTCGTTGTGATTCAGGCGCCAGTAAGCTGCGCTTTGACGGCACTTTGCGGATTAACATGCTAAAGATCAATACTGGTGGTGTTTCCAAACTTGAAACGATCATCTGACAGTGGGCGTGGTGCAGCACTCAAGCGTTAATGTAGTTAGGATGAATTGTTTCTAAACTGAGCTTTGTTCAGAAAGGTGAAGTAGAGTGATTGAGTGTGTGTGTGTGTGTGTGTGTGTGTGTGTGTGTGTGTCTGTGTGTGTACGTGTGTGTGTGTGTGTGTGTGTGTGTGTGTGTGTGTGTACGTGTGTGTGTGTGTGTGTGTGTGTGTGTGTGTGTGTGTGTGTGTGAGAGAGAGAAAGAGAGAGAGATAAAGAGAGACAGAGAGGGGGAGAGAGAGACAGAGAGAATAGAGACAGAGCGAGAGAGAGACACACAGAGAGAGAGAGCGAGAGAGAGAGAGAGAGAGTGAGAGAGAGAAAGAGAGAGAGAGATCAGATACTGGGACGGAGAGGGAGAGCGAAAGAGAGGGAGGGAGAGAGAAGGGATAAAGAGAGGGAGTTTAGGTGCAATGCAAACGGGAATACAACTAGACATCGCCGAACAACGTCTTATGAAAGATGGAAATCAAAGCCTTACAAGTGCATGCGGCGTCCTCTGAACCATTGAGACAAAAGACAGTTTGAAACCTTTTTCTAGAATTACAAAAACAGTCGTATGTCGCCAAAAATGAGCATTGCTCCAGGATGAATTCGGCATTTAAAAAATGTTCGACAAGAAAAATCGTGTTATTCAAAATCAGTGCTCCACAGTTCCTTTCGTTTTTAGTTCGTGAATATAAATGGTTTTACTTAAACAACATAATATTATGTTACCTTGTTTTATACGTTTTTCGTATTCGTTTAAAGTTCTTGTATACTCTGTTATGCCTTTAGATGAAAGGCTTATACTTCAGTTTGGCGGGGGTTCAGTAGCTCAACATGTATATTGTTTGCCTGACAACCTGGAGGTCCTGAGTCCGGTCCTCGCCAACGTGGTATATTTTCCCCTCGTCTTCCACACATCCTGATTCTAGAGTAGAAAAAATCGAGCACATAATCTTCTCGGCTAAGGACTAAAAATTTTGGAGTACAGGTGT